GCGGGTTTACCTTAGTTTGTTTACTTTATTACACAGCAAAAATAACTTATTACCTATAAATATTACAGATATTTTGACGTATTCAAAATTACTAAGAAATCACATGTCATAAAAAGATATATAAAATATAATTAAGTGCTGACCCAATTTGGTGCTATATTTTGCCTCAGCGCATTGCAAAATCTTTTTTTCGGACTTACTAATAGCCAAACCAAAGCTGCAATTCATTCATAATGAAATAAAGACGTTATATGTTAAATATTGCTCAAATCGCGCTCCCATTTTCTTGGTTTCCTCGGCAAACGAAGATTATTTAACCGGCAACCATTATACACCGCGTATGCGTAATATTCTAATGCAATCGGCAAAAAACCAAAGAGGCTTTTTAGCGTGTGCAATGTGTGTCAGTGGGAAATTAATACAATGCGTTTCGAGAGACGTGCCTATTGGCCACCGATGGCCGACGAAAGTTTCTCCCCATCAATTGGCATGCCAATATTAACCAATATCCATATACCACAGGTATCTGGATCCGGGAGGGACGAGGAGAGGCGTGGCCAGGTGAATCGCAGTCGAACGCAGTGCGGTGACCTTCGGCAAACGGCGGCGGCAAACAAACACCAATCAAACAAGCCATTTGAGATAGCCAAACAAGCGCGGTCCAAATATCTCGCACAATATACGCGCAGCCGTACTAACAACGAATAAATAGGTATATAGATATAAGCCAAGGTGACTAAGTACCGCCGCAGCATGGAGATCAGGCGCACCTCTCGACCGTATCTTTGGGTGCTGCTGATGCTGCTCGGCCTTTGGCTGGGTTCGGTTTTGGCCAAGGGCGCCGGCAATCAGACAACCCCCACCACCACCACCTCACGAACCTGGCAGCGGTATCAAAGTCAGTCGCTCAATGAATCGCAATCGATGGCCGAGGAATTGGAGATTTTGGAAACCACTTCGGATACTTTGAGCCACTCGCCCCACGAAACCCATTTGACTCGCACCTCCGTCATTTTCGGACTCACCAAAGTGGCCAACGAGAGCAGCGTCAGCCAAAAGTGCCACGCGCAGCTGCGACAAATGCAGCGCGGCATACTCGGCAAACAGCCATGGGCCATGAAGGGTGAGTCGATAAAATAATCCGAAAATAATATATATAATTAAATTTCAAAGACCCCAAGGAGACCCAAAAGTACAGATACAATTTCTTGCCTGCTTTGAAAACTATAGATTGAAAGCCTTCAGGGAAATGTAATTAGGTTGATGCAATGTTCGGCAAGGGCTTTTAAAAAGTTTTAAGTTTTCTTTATAGGACCATTTGATAAAATACTGACATATTTTATTTATAAATCTGCAGAATAAAATCCTTTCCGGGATTATAGAGAATAGATGCCATTATTGAGATAAAGCTTGCTCTGGGAATTTTCCATAATTGGAAAGATTTGATCTGAAGTAAAAAAATATTTGCAAAATGAAAACAAAATAATCCTTGAATAAAATACTTTATTTGAAGTGTCAATTACTGAATGGGGCAAAAATATTATTTGTATATCTATTTTATAACATTTACCTAATGATCTACATATTTGATTTCTTATAAACTGTTTATTTGTTTAACTACCTATTCCTTTTTGTTTGATCTTTATTTCGACAATTTTAACTTAAAAATATCGCTTAATATTTTTAAGTTACTAGGAGTGATAAATATATATTTCCCAAAATCAACAGTTTTCTATTGAAACTCGCACCTACGCAAGTTCATGACTACAATTGAACTGTAAAACACACACCTCAAATAACCCATTAAGATAGGCCAATGATTCATTAAAAACTTACTGTAGAATAAAGTGTGGAAATATATTTTGTAGTATGTACTCTAGAGTACTCTCATAATAACAACTAACTAACAACAAGTTTTTATTTTTGAACCTTAGATTAAGTAAATCCCAAGAATTTTCATGATTCATGAACACAATGTAGTTGATAAACCAACAGCGGCCTTAGCAGTTAGTTAGGGACAAACAACAATTAAAAACGTATTCATATTGTAGATAGAACCCTTGACCATAAAACTTTTTTATATCAACAAGTACTTAGAAACATACGTTTTCTCCTCCATTGAAATTTCATTAAATTTTCCCGTAGTTCTGGATGCATCGGGAACGAAACCCTCGGGCTTTGTTTATGGCCAGAATTATTGGCTGGGAAGTCGGGAAGCTTGTCGTGGAGTCCAAAGACCCGTGGGCATAACCCTGTCTAAAAACTTCGATCGAGTTATGCACTATGGAATTATCACCCAACAGGCGCCCTTCGATATGGACTATCGGGTTTTGTATCTGCGACATAGTTCCCCCTGGCAGGTTGAGATAAAACTAATGTCCGAGCAGATTATCCACATTGGTTTGTGCCTTCCAAGTGCCTGCAATTCAGAGGAGGTTAAGAATCTAGCCCAGGACTACGTAGCTGGGGGGATGTTCACTGAAAACGATATCTTTGACATCCGACCGGAAGTGGTTTATATGAAGGATCTCCAGTTAAGGGAAGAATTCTTCGAGCGGGCCAGCTTCCGACTTTTGGTGGCCTGTGTTTTGGTCACCGGAGCTCTGATGCTTTGCGCTCAGCAACTGACGGCAACCAAAAAGATGGCACCTTCATCTGAGGAACCTGATCCTGGTTTAGCTCCTGCCGAATCGGAAATTTGGAGAGGACTCAACTCTCTTCTGCAAATAGAGAAGTTACAGAAGTATATACCCTGCTGGGATGTCCCCACAAATTGGGCCAAGATCTTTGCGGTGCGGGAGAATTCTCCGAATGACATTCCTCTGATGAACGGACTGCGATCTGTTTGCGCCATCTGGATCATGGTGTTCCACGTGGTGTGGTTCATGTACTTCACAGTCCACAACAAGACGGTGCTGATTTCGTATGCAGAACAGGCCTTCTTCCAATACGTTTCTTCAGCTCCTCTGCTCGTGGATGTCTTCTTTACCATCAGGTGAGTATACTTGGAGATATAAAGTTTAGTTTTTTTTGTAAATTCTTCTTTCCAAAAAAAACTAAAAACAAATATAGGTTTATATAGAACTAACCCGTGCTAAAGGTTTATAGAAATAATGTTAGACCTGTCTCCGGTTTTAAACTAGACTTTATATATATTTTGCTTTTTCTAACTTTATTTATACCTTAAATTTTTCTTATATCATTTACTATATTTTTTTCAGTGGCTTCCTGCAAACGTTCAATTTTCTGCGGAACTCTCAGCAGTTGGAGGCCGTTCGACGAAATAGCCTCAGTGAAAATTGTAAGCTCTTTGGCAAACTGCTCTTCCATCGGTATCTGCGTCTTGGACCACTTTACTTGGTTGTCATGGCCACCGTGGATTTGGTCTATGCCTATATTGGAGATGTCTCGGTCTATCACATCAATGAGAGATTCGATGAGATGTGCTCCCGTCACTGGTGGCGAAATTTGCTCTTTATTCAAAACCTTTTCGATCATCGGGACATGTGCGCCAATTGGAGCTGGTCCTTGGCCTGCGAAATGCAGTTCTTTATCTTGGCCAACGTCCTGCTGTTCCTCTATGTGAGGTAAGTGTTTAAGACCTTTATAAAGAAATGAAAATATTTAATATTTCGTTATAAACAGATATCCTAAGGCAGTCAAAGCCCTGGTGGTCTCATCTTTTGTGGCCACCATTGCCTGGTCTTATAGCATCGGCTTGAGCATCAAGTTTCAGTTGTCCTTCGATGCAGCCTTTGCCACCGGAACAGAGATCTACACTTCCCCCTTTGTAAGGGTCCTTCCTTATATCCTGGGAGCTGCAACGGCCTGGTTACTGCAGGAGAATCGAACCCAGTTGGAGATCAGTGAGCCAAAGGAACGTTTCTGCTGGCACCTGGCCCTGTTGGTGTTCTTCGCCTGCATTTACTCGACTGTGAAGAGGGATCTGGGTCCTCTGATGGCCATCACACTTTTTGTGATGGGTCGCCTATTCTTTTCGCTAAGTGTATGCTGGATGATAGCGCGCAGTTGCGGTGGGCGGGGAGTGTGGTGGTCACGACTGCTGGAGGCCAAGGGCTTCCAACATGTCAGTCGGCTGTCCTACGCCATTTACCTTCTCAACCCGCTGGTCATCGCACTATTCTACAGTTTAACCAACGCCAGTACGCACGCAGATCCCTTCATGCTGGTAAGTTTTAAGAATATCTCCATAGACTTTAAATCTTTTTACAAAAGGAGCCTGAAAGTATGCTCTAAAAATTTAATATTGTCCTTCTGAATTTATTCTTTGGGCTTTTGTAGTATTATATATAGTAGCATACTTTTAGACACCTCTTATTAATATTGTTTAATTTCGCATTTTTATTAATTTCCTGTTCAACTCTAGTGCGTGGTCACCTGCGGCTTCGCTGTCATCGTTTACCTGGCATCCATCCTCTTTTCCCTGTCCTTCGAGCTGCCCTTCAGCAATCTTTCCAGTTTGCTAAATCGTCGGCAGAGCAAGCCGAAAAACGCCTAAAGATGCTAGCCCTAAATTAGATCGGTAAGGTCACCGCACACACCTCCATCTGACAATTGTGATCGCTTTCATGTACAACTACTCATCTTAACCGAATCACTAGGCTTAGTCTTATCTTAGTCAATGTTATACATACTAATATAAATATCTTGTAAATCGGTGGAAACCATTCTTAATAAGATAATCCCTAGCTCTAAGATAACTCTGTTATACGTATTGTATGTAGTTAAACACATTATCGCGCCCCAGCATAGAATATACAATTTTCGACAACACTAACGAATGGGAATTATTTATTTCAACTTTTGTATATATTTTGATAAAGGTATATAAGAATAAACATTTAGATGTTTCAATGTGTACCCTCTTCATATCTGCATTGAGGTAACGATTCGTTATATGTTAAAAAAAAATGTTTGAATATTTATTTAATTTTTCTTACTTATTTTATGGAATGCTAGCCGTAAAATTTTGTACCACTAAAAACATTCGAATGATTTTGAAAAAAAAACGCGTTTACTCTTATAGTACTAAACAATGTTATAGTATTATATTTTAATTATTATTAAATAAGTCGTAGTAACCGACACATTTGTCGCACTTCTTCAGAAATTCAATACGAGAATTCGGGTCAGAAGAGGCAAAGAAATACCGCAAACGCCTTAAAATTTCCGATGATTGCTCTTCAATTTCATCGAAGTCCCATCTTGGATAATATCTTCTTATACTCAAAATTATCTGATAAAGAACGGATTCCGTCGAAAAATAATATTTCAGAAGTTGGCACATTTCTTCCCTGGTGTTTTCCACAAAAGTTTGCGTGAGCTGTAAAATAAGTTTGAACGTTTCGGGTTCCAAATGCTCAGACATGCTGGTAATCAGAATTTCAAAGGTCTCCAAGCTAACGATGTGTTCTCTAAGAAGCATGCCATAGACTTCCAGGTTAATTTCTTCTCCTTTCACATTAATTGTGGTGATTTCTGGAGAATCGGGTACATCAATGATATTCATGGGTGTTTCAGGTAATTTCCTTAGTTTTCTCTTTTTCTGAATGGGTTGAAAAAGGTTGTCGAGCTCAACTTTTTCGGGAACTCCGTTGGCACTACGTATAAGATCCACTTTGCCCTCAATTCGTGCAGTTTCCTCAGATATCTTGTCAAAAACGCTTCTATAAAAAGTTTACTTAAATTTTTATTAATGCAATATTTTTTTTTACCTTTGCTGATTAGTCAAGATGCTTGCAGAATTCACTTCTTTGATCATTCTTGATGCCAGACGAAAATTATTTAAAGTATCCGTAAATAGAACTAAAGAATCGGAAAGATCAATTATGTCACAAGATTGCTGCTCGCTATCAGGATTCTATTAAATTGAAATTAATTAAAGAAATGTATAAATTCTGTTTAAGGATGATACCCACCAAGAGCAAACTGAGCATCCGTTCACATGTGCAAAATTCAAAAACCAATGGAAAATCAAAAACATTTTTTGGTTTTTTACGAGTAATAAGCGTTTTGGAAGCTAATGCCAAGGAGTCGGGCGTTATGGAGTAATCCTTGATTTTTGGTAAAAGTCCCGAGCAAGGCCGGTCTGTGATGGAATACGATTTTAGCTCAACCTGACCATCAATCAGTTTGTACACTCCACGATACGGGGTAACCATTAAACCTTGGCGAAAATCTGGCAGCAACAGAAACTCTTTCCAGTTTCCACAACATGAGTTCTGAGTCACGTACGCCATGCAATAGTCGATGCCACTGGCTTGGCCAGTTTTATCTTGTAAAAACAGTTTTGATTTGCTTCTTAGTGATAAGTGATTTCAAAACCCTTGTACATATATTCACCCACACAGCGTCGACAACGGAAAACAGGATACAGATGCCAGGATCTGCTTTCTTCGGCCATCTGTGGATTGCTCACATTGTCCACTATCATCACAAAAAAGAGGGACGTTAAAGATTGTCCATTTGTGTATTTTCCTGGTATAGAAAGTTTATCACTTTACTTGGAAATGGTAAGATTAAAGATGAAGAATATCTTACGTTGATCCCAAATCCAATAGAACATGTTAGTATTGGCTTTAAACAGGGACAACTTCCTTTTTAGCACCTCTGCCTGGTTAAGCGTAAGCCTGTCCACCTTGTTTTAGAATTTTGTATATTACGACCTTCTTGACTACTTACAGATCCCAGGTTATATCTTCTCCATGACTTAGGATCTCTGCAAACTTTTGCTGCACTTCTCTGACCGTGGGAACCAAAGTTGCATCTTGATCCCTCGATGCACTCATTTTTTCGCTCTGTTATTTTCACCAGTTGCACATTGCAGATGGCAGTTGCAACACAATGCGAATATCGATAGCCAAAGTTGTTGACAACTCTTGAATATTTAAGCAAAGTATTAAACAATAACATGGTTTTTTTAAAGTTTTTAAATGATTTGAAATAAACCACCTTTAGAATTGTTCTAATCAGAAAGCTCTGCCTAATAACAGTATACTACGTTTATGGTCACCCCAAATATCGGTTGAATAACGATTATGTTCGTTTTGTTCTCTTTTCTTTGAACTCTGAGGCGTATGACACTGGTTTTTCAGACTCCGAACATGAATAATTTGTTTGAATTCGGTTATTTTGTTTTTTGACACTTTATTAACAAATATTTATACTTATAAAAATTTCTTGAAGGCAATTAGATCATCTTCATTTTTTGGCTTGACATTACCAAAATACATATTCATATACAATTTAAGAACAATATTTGGGAGACTAATAAAAACTTTTTCGAATTAAGATGTATAATGGAGTTTTTAGAAGCTTCCCCTATAGATTCGGGTGTTAGACAGTGTTTTGGACGGTACTAACATCTAAAAAATATTTTTTTTATTATTCAAGAGCGTTAGATTTCCTTATGATTCATACATTCACCAACTCATTTACGACAACGGTCGACTGGATTAAGATACGAAGATTTACTTTGCTTGGGCAGTCTTAGATCGTAAAACAGAAGTTAAATTTGCATCATAATTTTAACTTCCAATTGTTCCCAATCAAATCATGTGAGTAAACCAATTTTTAAGGCGCTTTCCCTTAATTTATTTTAGCCTACTCATATCGATATTAGGGTTTCATATTTTAAAGAACCCCGGGCGATGGTCACCCCAAGTTTCGAAAGTATATCGATGTTTAAATACCTTCTCTATGCACGCGATTGTAAAATAGAGAGCCCTCTCCCTCTCTCTGTATTTACTTAGCATTGCAGTGGCGTGTACGCTTGTCTTTTGGGGGTTGAGAACTACGAATTTGTTTGCTAGTTTTGAATTTTCTTTTAATACATCGTTTTTAATTGAAGCGCAAAATTCAAAAATAGACACCAAAATGATGCTTTTGTTTGCTTACTTACTTACATTTTTTTTCATGTCAAATTATATTCCAATGAAAATTATGTGAACCCCTTTCCCTACGCCCCTGAAAAGTTAACAGCGCCGCAACTACAGGCAGAGAGCGTAACATAACAGTTCAAGAGACAAATTCAAACAAGACTGGCGAAGTAAAGACGCTCAGTTTTAAATCGCTCGCACCCTCTGAAACGCGCTGCTTGTGTTTTTTCCCACTTAAAATTGTTTAAGGAATATATTAAAAAACCGTTCGTCGGTGACTTTGTCGGATAAAAATTGTGAGCTAAGACTACTTGCTTTCGTTTCAAAAACAGTTACATTGTGCCATGTTGCTAAATGAGTTACAACCGCGCGGTAAAATTTTCTACTGATAGCGGCTGTTTTTATTTTATTTGTTATTAAAAAACATACGTATAAATAAAAATATTTGAACAACATATGGATAAAACGAGTGCAAAGTGAATAACAGAGGAGTTTACGCGTAATAAGAGCAGTGAAAAAAGGAAATCCAGGCACAGCATCCTTCAGCCTGCTTCTTCTTCTTCCTCCCCTTTTGCATTCCTTTTCGCCGCGTGTGTGTATTGGTGTGCATGAAAATTGCTTTAAGTAAATGTATATTCCAGCTGTCAACAACCAATTGATGCAAAAAATATATTTAAAATCGCTATATTTTCAGTGTGTGCGTTAAATTAGCACTCCGAAATTGCTATCTCTGTCGGCTCCCCGACGTTGTTTTTTAACTGTTACCTAAAAAGATGGGTGTGTGTGAGTGTGCGTGTGTGTTCCTAGCGGAAATTAATTAAAAAACGCACCCAAGTTGCCCCACTCACTCTCTCTCTCCTGGAAGGACACGAAATGGGAGGCAAATGAGGAGGCAGCCGGGAAAACAACAAAAAGGTGAATATATAAAATCATAAAATGCATAAAACTTAAGATATTTATTAAGCCAGACCTTGGGTTGATACCCTTTTGTTTGTCTTTTGAAGGGTTTTGTCTCTTTTCTTATCAGCATCCCATTGAACGGCGGCCCATTGTTGTTGTTTCTGCGGGGGCGAGCACTCGCTCTCTCGCTCGCTCTTCTCATGTGTGTGTGTCGCCTTTTTTTTATTGTATATCTTTTCTTTCGCTCTTTTTGTCGCCTTTAACTTGGCCAGCGAATTTGTTGTTGCCGCTTCTGGCCGTATGCTCTTCTTTTTTGCCTTTTGCAACAACAAGAATTTTCTTCTTTTTTTTAGCATGTGCTGTCGCTGGCGACTGACCTTGAACAAGTTCAGGCACAGTGGCACGCATGTCTGTTTGTGTGGTTCCCTTTGGGCTCCTTGGCTCCCTCGCTCCTTGTCGTCATTTTTTCAGCGCCTTGGCCTTGGCCCGTCCCACTGTGCCGCCTTGGCTCCTCTCTCTCTCCATTGACCTGTCTACCGTCTCCCTCCCGCGCGCTAAATGTTTGCCCAAGATTGCGAGAGTGTTTACTCAATCACTTACAGTGGAGCCTTCAATAATTTTGTTCCACTACAATTCCATAAAGATAGTGCGTCATTTTGACATAATATGCAGAAGTCCGGGTTCGATCCCAAACCCAATATTTATTCATATTTTATTTACATTTTTCAAATCAATAATATTTTACGGTGGCCTCAAGAAGTTCAATAAATCGAGCATAAAAATTGTTACATCATTTTGATATGATATGCAGAGGTCTAGGTACAATTCCCAATTCTATAAATTTGCTGTTTTTCTTAAAAGTATAATTCCTATAATCAAAAAACTTAAATTACGATTTATCTTTTTTTCGTTATAACTGTTCGACGAACAATAAAATAATAATAATATACAGTAATATTACAACTAACCATATTATAAACCAAGTTAACTCAAGGAAATAATTATTAAAAGGTTATTTCTAGTTTTAAAGAATCTTTTGTAGAGAAATCGCTAGAAAAAGTTTGGGAATGGTTTAATTTAAGAATGACTTCTTATGATCTTCTAAAAAATTTCTTCAAAAGACTACCTCAACATGAGAATCAAATAGAAAAATTTAAGTCCAAGCACTATTTGGAACAAAAAAAAGAGATACGCACAAGTAGCTACATAGTTACATATGTTTTGCGAATATGGAGTTAGGAGGTTAGGAGTTATGTAATACAAGTTTGACTGTAATTTTAAATGTTTCATTTATTCCATATTAGATCTGGGGACAATAGATTGGATTCAATTGTGTCAATATACAAATATGAAATTTTCGTTTCAAGTTAACTATCTGTTGTGAAAATATTCGATCACATGCTCGCTGGCAAAGCTCTGATTTTTAATTGCGGCAGCTTCCGCGTGAAGCTCTCGCTCTCCACGTATCTCCCCAAGCCAAACCACACATATATAGATATATCCATCTCCCTCAACCGAATGTTTTTGTCATACAACGAATTTTAAAAATTTTTTCAGTGGCCCCACAGAACTCAGAACTTTGTCTTCGCCCTATTTGTTTGTTTGCCCATCCGCAGCTGTCGCTACTTTGCTACTTTGCTACTTTGCGCCCACTTGCGCCTTCTGGCCCACTGATAACCGCGTGCGAAGAGTTAGACGGTCGACGGTGTTACTTTTACTGGTCCGTACAGTGACCCCGAGATTCTCCGCCAACGTCACTCGACAGCGTCAGCGGTTTAAGCTTTCTGCTTTCTCTTTTACACCCGTTCACCGCTCACCGCCCTCCAGTACTCAATTTGCACGAACCCATTCCAATACATTTTTGATAACCTAAGTTAAGTGGCTTATAATTCAATTTTGTAAATCGCACAAAAACAATCGACATTGAGCACCTTTAATTAGTAGAACAGTAAATTACATTTGTTAAAATCTAATAAATCTTTGTTTGCAAAAAAAAGACTTCCTGACAATTATAACCCATGAAGTCATTCATAAAATTATACAAATTTAAACATATTTGTCAGAAAAAAAGAAAGTTGATCAGAAAATGACTCATGAAGTCATTCATAAAACCATATTAATGAAAATATATTTGTCACAAAGGAAGTTGATCTCAAAAAAAAATATTTAATAAGGAAAACATATAAAATAATGCAAAAGGCCACTTAATTTGCAAGCATTCTAAAATAAATTGAATTATTTATTTTACAATATACTCTTAGCATTCTGTGTCTTTCGCCATTTTCATTTAAAAAAATAGATCATTTCATTATTTAATTGTTTATTGGCCTGGGATCACTTAAAATCTAATCTACTAATACTTGGCAATCATATTAATTTTCCAATTGTGTGGTTATCATGTGATACACATGTGACAATTTTAGAACCCAGAACGCATTGAAATATAATGTTCAATCACAGTTATTTATTCCCAGCGGGCTTTTCGCTAATCGTATAAAATATGGGCAATGCTTATCAATTTTCCAAAAAAATGTATACTTATTATAAATGAATTTAAATGGTGCACACCAATGTACTTTCAATTTTGATTGCCAGCAATAAGTGAATATATTGCTGTATATAATGGAAATGTTTTCTTCGATCCAAAGATAAAGAGGTGCAACCTTCCTCACACATATTTGTGCAATTTTGTACGAATTCTATAAATATTGCAAGTATTTGGAACTTATTTATTGCCCGTGTAAATGGATAAAAGCCAGGCACATGTGGAAAATTTCGCACTGGAATGAACTCTAACAATATGCTAGTTTTTATTTTATGGTAAAAACTAACATATTTGCATTGCAAGGTTTTTGTTTACTTTACAATCAGCTGTGTGTACTGTTTCAGAAGCAGCAAAAAAATTATACTAATCAAATTCTTTCCGTTTAATTTTATGTCAGCAAAAAAATTTGCATTAATGATAATAGAAACCGCAACAAAAGAATTTCCAGAAATGTGAACTTTCGATCACCAAGAAAACTGAGTCATCGCACGAGCATTTTTTTATTGTCT